GGCCTTCTGTTGTCAACAACGCCAGAACTTCGAGGAAGTTCTGTTGGTGCTTGCGAGCTGCAATGAATTCACAATTAATTCCTATGAAATTTCTTTTACAATTGCAGTAAAGTAGAAGCAATTAGAAGCTACTCTACGTCTTTTTGCCAAGGTTGTACATCCATTTTGTTTACGGAAGATTTAAGAGCATGTAATTCAGCAGGTAAAGTAACTCTATCCCTAAGTTTTGAGAAAAGTAGAGTAGTTCTTAAAATTTTGATATTATACCGTAGAAGCTTAGCTATTAAAAATTACGATAAGGCAGTAACGAAAGTGGGAATCGAATGTGCAACCTATCTCTGAATGGATTGGTATTTGTGTGGGCTAAAAACTAGTATCAGAATACAGCAAGTCTGTCGGGAAATTGAACAAGGTGCTCCAGAAAATGCATTTTGAACAAGTTGTTATTGAACGTTCATACGGTGCAACTGCTTGATTGGATTTTCTAATGAGTTAGTACTAGTTGGCACAATAACACTAAACACACATTAGTCGAAAACGAACATATCTCAAAATTTGAAGCATAAGTTAGTAGGTCTGATGAAGCAATTTCTTCTACACTGTTTGGTTACAATCTTGTTACTTCATTGATTTTCAAAGCTACATTATTCATTCAAGATCATTAAATCTTTTTGTGAGGGTTAATAGCTACCAATTTTACTTGTAGAATTTTCCGTTGTAACGCACTCTTAAGGGCCTAAGTCCCCATTGTTTTGTTGTACGTTGCACTATGTCGGAAAGAAATCAAGAGCTTTCGATGTCTTCCCGACATAGCGCAACGTATAACAATGGGGATTATCCACCATGAAAAAGTTCTTCAAAAGGAAACGGCCGAAGATAAGACACGAAGACACAACTCTGTTATAGCATAAAAACTTGCCAAAAATATCAAATGTAGTTCCTTAGCATTATAATAAGATAAAAGTACGCTAAATAGAGACATATTTCCGCTCTTAAAATTCTACGACCTTGATGATCAAGGCAAATTTGGAAATGTCATATGGAGGCTGTAAGAACTTCTACAATGTTTATGACAAGCGGATATAGTGGAGAGCAAAAACTTTCTTTTACAAGTTAGTGTGTGTGCTTAGGTACATATTCTATGAACGGAAGCTACAGTAACGGGAAACTGAATAGTTACTTTACACTGAAATCAAATGCTAAAGATCATCTCCACATGCACACTAAAACAGCTCGAAATTTAGACTGGATATAGCAATGAAACTCTATTTTAAGCAAAAAAAATTAAGATGGAACGGAGGAGCACAACGAGCAGTTCGGTTTGATGGCTGAATTTCAAAAAGGTGAAAACTTTCTGCATAATAAACAATGTATAGAAACCTTGCTCAAGGTTTGGCTTTGAATGAGGTAGAGTGGGTTGGAACTATCTTTACAAAATGGCTGTAACAAAGTTCTCTGTGTTTTTCAATATCTCGCTACGCACTTCAAAACATTATTCACTGTATTTAGACGAACGAATTAGACAATGGAGAAAGAGAAAAGAGAGCACAATAAATGCAGGAAAAGGGGAGATACGAACAGCAAGCCGCTTCAGTATTTTTTTTGCAAAATAAGATCAGTAAGATCCAGGCCATGGTTAGAGCAAGAAGTAACGGTCTTGGTAAAATCTTTATCATCACTATCTTTAAGTCACATCTTTGTTCCGATCATCTAATGCGGTCGCTTAACT